GGGGAGGGGGAGCGGGGCTGTTGTCCCCTAAACTTAACCCCTCCCCTATTCACCTACCAACAATGCTTTGGGGTTGACAGCAAAATGTTGTCAACAGTTAAGAGCAGTTGTCTGTAAAAATCAAATAAATTTCAAAAATAGTGGCAGACGTCGGGAGCCATAGCCCCTACGTCGGGGAAGACGAGTAAATTTTGTCGGGGATAAACAAATAAAAAATGATTTACTTTCATTAAACTATTTTTGTTAACTTTTCATCACAATAATAATAATAATAATAATAATAATAATAATAATAAGAATAATAATAATAATAATAATAATAATAATAATAGGCCTAATAATAGTTCAATGAGACTAATTAAAAATAATTTGCGTTCTGTTATGACAATGCTCATTTTGATAGCGTCATGATGCTTTGAATACATCGTGATAGTAGGGGAAGCAACCTCGACCCTGATAGCGTTGACAAATGCAACATTTTCCAAAATGTAGAATTTCACTTTCAAGAATGAGGATTTGAAAATAGATTAGATGGTTACATTGCATACTCTTTGTTTCTTGTTTTATTAAAAATGTTTTGGTTTTGGAAGCTGATTTCGACATTAGAAAACATAGCCTACATGAAGTTATATTATATGTAGCTCGATGCCTATCAAATAAGTAATAAAAATTCGCGATAATTCGTCAAATATCCGTGGCTTCCTACCCATTTAATATCCCTCATTCATCCAATGTTGCAGTTGGCTCTGATAAGGAAGCTACACCTAGATTCAGAAATATTAATCCCTCAACTTTAGAAAATTTTCAACATAATATCTGTAACCCACACTGGTCTGAAGTCCTTGATACTCATGATCCTGACGAGGCCCACAATAATTTTGAAAACATATTCAATAATTTTTACGAAAAACATTTCCCATTAAAAAAAAACAAAAACAAAAAAACAATCCCATAAACTGGAACCTTGGATGTCTGACGGCCTTCTTAACTCTATTAAAAATAAGCAAAAACTTTATGCTAAATTTCTTCATTGCCCTTTTACCAAAAATGAAACTAAATATAAAAAATTTCGCAACAAATTAAATTCACTTATCAAGATTACCAAAGCTACCCACTTCAAAAATTTATTCCTCAAACACAAAAATGATATCAAGTCTATTTAGAATACCATAAATCTGCTAATTAATAAAAACCCTTAATAATCAATCAAATACCTCTTTTAATTGTAACGGCGACGAAACTAACGATCCCGACAAAATTGCATCTGCATTTAATGACTACTTTGTTGAAATTGGACTCTCATTAGCCAACAAGATTCCCCAAATCAACAAATCATTTAAGGAATTTTTACTCAACCCAACACCCAACTCTATTTTTTTTACCCCTGATAATGAATCGGAAGTGGCCTGTATACTAAACTGCTTCAAACACAATAAATCACCAGGTTTTGACAATTTTCATCCCAAAGTAATCAAATATGTTGCTAACTTCATCTCTCAACCCTTATGCGATATTTTTTACCTCTCTATCTCCAAGGGTGTCTTTCCAAACAGAATGAAGCTAGCCCGTGTTACACCCATTTATAAATCCGAACCCAATTATCGCCCTATATCAATCTTATCAGTATTCTCAACAATCCTAGAAAAAATAATCTATGATTTTGCTGTTAACAGACTTTCAATCAACCACAAGAAGTGTAGCTTCATTCTGTTTCGAAGCCCCAAAAAATCACAAATTCCCGATCTTTCACACTTCAAAATTTATATTGAGGATTATGAAATCCCCAGCACCCAAACTAAGTTTCTTGTGGTCTATCTAGACAGTCGATTAAATAGGAAGAAAGCATATCAGCCAAATTGAAAACAAAATATCAAATGGCTTTGATATCATTTTTAGGTTATCCTCTTTTGTTCTCCTTAACGTTCTTCGTATTCTCTATTGCTCCCTTATTCTTCCTTATTTGAGTTACTGCAACATTGTTTGGGGTAACATCTACCCCTCAACTTAACTAAACTAAAAATAATTCAAAAGAAGGCTATCAGGATTATATCTGGCGCTCCACCACAGTCTCATTCTTCTACTTTATTCTCTAATCTCAATCTTCTTAAACTCACTGATATCAACTCCCTTCAATAATGTTTATTTATGTATGCGTACTCAAATCACTGTATTTTACCAATTCACTTCTGTAACAATCCAATCACTCCATTCATATTCCGGAAAGCCTATGCAGGCAGTCAGGCGTATTGAACGGTAACCAACGTCTGGTTTGGCAACAGAGGGCGCTACCTGGCGTTGTGACGACACGACTGTGGTGCTCTATGATATAATATTAACACTAGGCAGACTAGAAGCGCATCTTGGAAGGTATTAAATAATGGCCAGTACGGTAATTTATTTAGACCGTTTGCATGTCCTACTATCAAGCATTAATGCGCTGGATCTTTAAATAGCCAATATCCAGAAGAATTTTTTTTTTTATGGCATATGGTGTTTGACAAAAGTCTTGGAACGGTTCGTAAGATTATTTAAACTGGGAAAAAGAGGCGTAACCACCAATTTTCACCCCAGTTTTTTAAAAATTTCTGAGTTCTTCATCAAACACCCATCAGGTGTCTTTAGTAAGACAATTTTGTAAAACATATCAATTTTTTCTTCTTTGGAGCATGGCCTCCATAAATTTGGTTTATCAAGTAGATATTTTCAAGGCTCGGTGTACATTATTTTTGCTTGATTTTATCTTTAATTGGGCACTTTGTTTTTCCCACGCAATTATGACAAGTGGTTAAACATTTTATTCCAATGTCGAAGGTTAGATATTTCGATGTTGAGAAATGCTCAAGGAAGTATATGCGTTAAATGTCCAATGTTAATTAGGAATTATAATTATTAAAATGGGTGTGTGTGATTACACAAGCAAATGAGTGATCGTAGTTAGTGTGAAACACCCAGTTTTTTTCTGGCCAAAGTGGCAAAAATTATTTACAAAGGTATTTTGAGTAGAAACTATCTAAGAGGGCTTCAAGAGCCACCAAAAGAAAGTTTTGAACAATTTTTCCCATGGGAAAAAGAGGTATGACCTTTTATATAAAGGTCAATCTATTTTTAGTAACAAACACTGAAACAGTAGGGGTAGTCTGTTCTATCCAACAAAAAACAATTGACCCAAAAAACAATTGCAAGAAAACTTTTTTTTTTGTAGCATAAGGTCTAGAAAAGATGAATATGTAAATTTTAGCCAAAATTGTTTATTTATTTATTTATTTATTCAACTTTCTTTTATGATCAAGTGATTTTTCCAAGATGGCCGCCAAAATGGCGCCAAAAACTTTAAAATAGTCATAAATTAAGTACTTTTTGTCTCGGAGTCTTTTTTTCCTAACTAAAACTAATTCAAATTTCATCTGATAATGATTAAATAATAATTTTCCAAAATTGAATAATTCCAAAAAATTATCCAAAATGGCTGCTATATTCTTTCATATCCATAACCCATTAATTAGTAGTCATATAGTGGTGATTGCAGTGTCTACATTTTCTGGGTCATAGCGTTTATCAATATCATTTAAAATGTGATTTAATAAGATCTGAACTAAAATATAAATAAATAATAAATTTGGAATGGTCTCAGTGGCATGTCTACTGAGTGTGTGTGTATGTGGGGTGGGGTGGGGAGACACTCTCCAAAAAATACTTACGTCCCCTTCTCATTGGAAGCAAAAACGTCAGCTCAAGTAGTTAAAATCATTGAATACCGTATCATCTTATTTTGCAACTTAACGCCCACAGGAAAAATCATTGACCCCCCACTGCACCTTTGCGTCCCCCACATCACCCCCTGTTACTTCTAAACTGTCTCTATACAATTTATAATTAAATAATACTGTATTCTGCTGAGGCTCTTCTAGATACGCAACTGTCTCTATACAATTTATAATTAATTAATACTGTATTCTGCTGAGGCTATGGCCCACTGTTATAATGAGAATTTGTATAGCATTTCCTAAAACTTCGTACTTCCTAAGTGCCTCGTTGTCAGAATGTTGCTAATCGGAGCACTTATCTACTTCACAGCAGAGACTGGACTAGAGCATTGAGAAATATTAATGTAATGGGCTCTTTTAAATTTCAAAGATTTGTTGTAGTTTGTTTAAGCAGGGACTACGGTTTATAGTCTTTAGATTTGGTAATACCACCCAATCCAATAGCAAACATGTCGCACCCAGCTTCCATAATTAAGACTACTTAGTGATAATAAAAACATATAATTCCTACTCTAAATCCAAACCATACCAAAGTTAAAAGTTCTGCTACTTTAATGCACAATCCTACCAAGTGTTGTCCTATTGGAACACATATATCCCTTGAAGCAGTTTTTCTGTAGAAGGCGCTTATATAAATATATGGCCATTTACACTGATAGTAAAACAGAAATATATAAACATTTTTATATAAATCATGTAGAAAAGACAACATAGACAGCAGAATGTTCTAGTTTCGCCATTTTGAAATTATTATCAATATTTAAGATTTAATGAGCCATAAAACACTTTGTTTAGAGAAAAAAAAGCAGGAATCTCAAAAGGAATGTACATTAGGATAAGATATGGCTATCTATTCTACCCCCCCCCCCACCACCTTGTTACTATATATAGAATTACCCTTTTTAGGTAAAAGGTCATAAAAAATTTCCTATGGCCGAAATACATCCAACTTTTTTTTGGTGGCATTCCAGGTCGATATCAACAGTTTCCAACAAAAATCACTTTGTAAATAATGCTTTGCCACTTTGGTGCTCCGTCTAACTAACTATCGGTGAAAGGGCAACCCAAGCGACAGATGATATTAATATTCATATTGTTAATATAAATAATATATAAATAACAACATTTAAAATATTTTTTTAAATAGTATTAGCAATACGTCAAAAAATAAATAACATTCAGAAGTACCGATATGTGTAAACATTATAATTGAAATTGTATATTTTTATCTTCTAGGTGTGTAAAACATTCTTCCATATTGGGACACATACACGACGGTACTACCACAATGCGGAATACAAAAGCTATTAAATACACAATTTGTTTCATTACGTCACTGCTGTGTTGTATATTCATCTATTCATTAGTAAGGAAAATATTTGCTGAATAATAAATCAATATAACGATAACAATGCCCTATTTATTTAAATAAATTTTGCTTCAATTCAATACATTCATGTCATTATGCCAAGACAAGTAAAGAGAATTTACAGTTACATTATCTCGGTGTAACATCTTTTCTATATAAAGAATCTCTCATAGATCCTGTGTTGTTTAAAAATTCCTAAAATGAAGAGATATCATATTAATCTGGTGTGTGCGTTGACTATTATTGCTGTACACAGAGTAGCTAGTAGGTAGAAATAATACAGTAATTAAACTTATAGGTCTGGTCAATATTTATTTTCAGAAATGGGACACAAGAATACAGTATAGCATTCATAAAGCACAAATCCCAATGTACAGACAGGCAACTCAGGTAACAAAATCTTTAATAATGTTGAGCAAGCCATGCAGTGCAGAATATAATAATTATAGTAGCCTATAACGGTACTTTAGTGATCGGTGTTGGTATACCAATTGTTTAAAGAAGTGTTCTTGGTTGAATTGTATTTGGGATAGGCCGTCGTACCCATTTAGTATAACATTTGCCTTCAGTGCGAGAGATCGCGAGTTCAGTATTTTAAAACAATTGATAAGGAGAAAAGCCTATCGATATGCTTTTTTTTAAAGCTTGGTTCATTTAATTGAGCACTGTTTATACTTTTATATAATATGAATATATAGGCCTATATATTTTATATACAAATATAAATGAATTGTTTATTTATTTCAACAATATTTTGTAAGGGTGGTCCAAGCAGCCAGAGCTGATCAATTGAGACCCTATATACATACAATTAAAGACAAAATAATAAAAGATGAATATAGAAATAATAAATACAATACATATTCCAAGTAATGAAAACCAAGAGTTGGAAAAGACTCGACGTTTCACGTGTAATGTACGGGGATTTTATTTCAACAATATCATCTACAAGCCAAGAGAGTGGTGCCTGGGATCAACTACTAGGAAGTACTAATAGTGACAAGTTGAGACTAATGACAATGGTGAACGTCTGTTGAGTTATTTCATTGAAAACAGATTTAAGTTAGTACACATGGTTTAGAAGTAAAACAATTCACAGAGAAACATGGATCCGTCCACGAACAGACAAACGGAAGCGTGTAGATTATAACACTACTGATTGTGTATCAAAGTTTGATAATGATTGTCGTGTGTACAATATAAATCATCAAAGGTACATATACAGTGTTTAATAAGGACATGATGGAACATAGGCTACCCTGTAGCTTTTTGACGAATAAAGTCCTATGAAAAATCATTGTGTAATAAAATGCCTCCGACGGGATTCGAACCTGCGACCTCTCGCTGACAAGGCGAGCGTCATAACCACTAGACCACGAAGGCTTCATGGTTGAACAGGTCCAAATACCCGTCGTGAACATTGTATTACACAATGCTATGCCTCAAGAGGGCGTTCGGCCAGATAAATCTGGAAATACGGCTAGAAATACTGTCGTATTATTATTCAATGTCGTGTGTACGTTAGAGCATCTCGAATGTTTAACACTGGTCATAGAATGACATTAATGAGTATTCTCTTTTCAATGTCTAAGAATTGTAAGGATATTTTTTTCAGAAAGTGAAGGCAAAACTCACCGATGTCAATTGACATCGGTGAGTTTTGCCCTTTACTCACCGATGTCAATCTGAATCAGATTATACAGCTTTTAAATATGATAATCAATTAAGAGATTTACTCGCATATAATTTTGGCCAATCATCCACCAACTACCATCAGAAGATCTAGATGAACTAATTGTATTATTGCTACAAAGTACAGGATGTTCAAAGATAGCAAGAAAGAAAGAACCATGAGAAAATGAAGAATCACAAAAGTTAATCAATGAGCAAAAGAAGTGTAAGGATATAAAGGAACTGAGACGACAACTAAAGAAGGTGAATGAATAACAAATTGAATTAATGAATGATTAATACAAGGAGTTAGCAGATAGCCTAGTACTGCAACAGAAAACAGGAAATTTGAAGAGTAATCCATCACAAGAATTACAAGTTCTGAGAATTTAAAAAAAGGAGCATTTTATATCACACCCCTTCTCATGGATAAGTATTTTATAGAAACTAATGAGAGTATACCAAAGGAAGATGACATTCTTCAAGATAGAAAGTCCTTTAAGAATGGGAAGAGTTGTGTTACAGACAATTTTAAGACAGAAATTCTAAAATATAACATTATCCAGTGTCTAGTAATATTTCTACTTGCATTAATCACCCTCATATGGACAACGGGTAAAGTACCCACAAAATGGCTCTGCAGTACGATTATCTGCATTTATATGAAATCGGAGCTAGAACTTATATGGGAATCTCAATTGGCGCAAAGTGTGGGAGAATTCTTTAAAAGATCATCACTTGGTGGCTAAAGGAGCATTATTAGAGTAGCATTGTCAGTTTGATTTTCGCTCCAACCGTTGTACATCTGATGCAATATTTACAGTAAAATCTGTCGCAGAGAAACATCATGGTATGATTGTTGCTATATGCATATACTTAAAGCCCCATTGCCGGCAATTTTGTTTTTAAGAAAAATCCGATTTTTAATGATATGAAGATGTATGAATATAATATGAAATTGCTAGTTTAACTGAATTTAGACATTCCTAAGCATGAAGAAAATGTAAAATAAGACTGAAATTTGATTTTTTTTTTTGTGTGTGTTCCATGTTCCACACAAAAATAACCGCGTATGCATTTTTTATATTCGATGTTGCGATAACTCTGCAAAGATATATAGTAGGAAACATTAGCTTATCCAACACTGCTGGGCCTGGCCAAGCCTTACCTTGATTTAAGTTCTGTATCAGACATAAAAACTACCGACATGATATTGTCTGTTGCTAATACTTGTGGAATATAATATTTCACTGGAATTATTTCAAATTTGTTAAAAAAAATGTTCTGACCGAGATTTTGGCAACTAAACAAACTTATCACATGCCTACTCGATCGACCGAAGCGTGCGAGATGCGAAGTACACAAACTAATCTTATTAGAGGGTGTACTTTATTGACTGTATTATGTGTACGCAAAAGCGAAAGCATTCCAGCGGATGCGATCTATAACCTCTGAATTTGCTTAGTAACGAAAAAGTCGTCGAGAAAATTGTAATCTCCTATGAGAAATAATCCCTATATCTCATTTTGTTTTATCCTTTTGAATTGCGTAAAAACTAAAATTTATGGCAATATTTTTCCAAGGTTTATAAAATTTATAGTAAAGCATAGGCCTATGCATTTTTTGAAAAATGTTTTAGTGAAATTTTGCCAGGAATGGGGCTTTAACAGCTGCACATGATCGCACTCCTAGTGATTTTCTTTTCAAAGTGATACTTCTTAATCTTAATTTGATATCAAGGTCGGCTGTAGACAATAATTTCCATGTCATTTCCACTTTAATTTCTATTTTGACTTTGTGTTGCTACCTCTAGCTCTAAAATTGAACTTTCACTTACCAAATGTATGTACCAATTGGCTTAGCGTAGAATGAGCGACAGGCCTAAAGAAATTGAAATAATAAGATTGATTCTTTTTGCAGACGACGTCGTCGAATTCTTGAAAGATTTTAACGAAGCCCTGTCAATGCAGATGTTTTGGCTTAAATGTGTCAATAAAGAAAGCCAAAATTGGAGGGGATACAATAACAACAAAAGAGACAATTCTAAAAATCAGCGAAGAGTGTAAAGAAAATGTGAGAGATTTTTGTGTACCTCGGCCATACTGTTACTAACATATCAGTGATTGTTTTTCATTAGCTATTGAAAAATATCAGCAACTGAAAAAATGTTTGCTAATTATAGTAAATAAATATGGTAACCAGAAGGAGGATTGTGGAGGCAATTTGAGAGCAAATTTGTTACATGGAACTACTCAGGCATGGTACCCATTGGAAGAAGAGTTAAAGAAACTGGAATTATTTTGGTACTTAATGCTGAGAAGAATGGTCAGAGGAGGTTTCAAAACGAAGAAAGATACTACACAAGATTACAGTCTAATTTATCGCAATACTGACATTGAAAAGATTATTAATTTGTTTAGTCACACTATATACTGAACTTTTTAAAATGTTCAATACCTGAGATTGGATATATATGCGGATGACCAAATAATAAATCGGATCGGATTGGATTGGATTTATTTGGTATAAACACCAAAGATAGCCCATGAAAATCTAGAAAGAGACTTATTTCCAATGGGGTCCCTATGGTGATAATTGGGCAGTACACCGGGAGACAATCCCCTACTCTTTTCCGAAGAGTGTACTGCGTTCATTAACGTACACATGGGACCAACGGCTTAAACGTCTCATCTGAAAGACGATGCGCTATTGTAACTTGTATTTCAGCCCTCCAGCTGAGACACAAGGAGAGGTAGCGATGGGAACCTAGAGATCTCCACGGTTTAGCGCGCAAACACAGTGGTTACCACCATATTAGCCGACTGAGCTAAGCTGCTCTCATCAATTGAATTGAAATAAACCATATTACAAAGACCCATGTATTAAAAATTGGAAAGATTCTAGAATAGATGAGCAAAAGCATCAACTGAATCAAGAGAAATTTTGAACATTCTTTCGAAAACAGTTTTTCTTGGAGGTTAGAAAATTGACCCCAAGACATGCATGATGTCAGGCGGAGGAACACCTAAGTAATTTATCATACCCATTAGACCACAGAGACATAATAGGATATAGGCGAAGATCTAACCCCAGGTACTTTCTTCCATAGCCTATGACTGACTGAGTTAAGGGTAAGGTAGAAAAACGTGTTGGTCTCAGCTGGTAAATCACAGTAAATAATATTCAAATCAAGTTTGCCGCGCAGCACCGTAAACACAATATGAACAAATAGGTACATAATAATAATAGCAGTATATTAACAAATATTGTAGTGATGAAGACATTGATAATCAATTTAATGCCGACGATTTTGGTGATAAAGTGGATAATACAACATTCTGTAATTATGTTTTCTTTTCAACAGAATATATCAATATTCCACACAGGAAAAAATGAATCGTTAATTGAAGACATAACTAAAACTGAATCCGGTAAGATAATAATGCCAGCATTTGCATCCATAAAGGAAGCTCGTCTAAAAACATCAAGCAAAGTACCGGTGCCGGTTTCAAAACAAGAAAACACGGGGCTGATTAATTCAAGCAAAACCACCGTCATCCTAAAAAATCCTGGCGTGGTAAAAGTTGGTGAGTTTTTTAGTGTGATCATCGAGGCTCGTAATAGTATGGGGCAACATCGTGTGAAAGGAGGCGAATTCTGGTTGGCAAGTATCAGAAGTCGCCAAGCTAATGCGGCAGGAAAAGTAATTGACTTTAACAATGGCACTTACGAAGCCATATTTTTTGCTGCCTGGACTGGTAACGTCAATATTGAAATCATTCTTGTCAATCCTTCTGAAACTTCAGACTTTATTGAAGACACGTTTTGGCATATGGAAGATAGAGGTGTATGGAAGGGAAATTTTGTTTCGGGTAAGATCAGGGAAACAAAACTTTGCAGATTAAGAATTAAAGGCGATTTCCTGAATAAATGCGAATGGAGTCAGCCGTTGGCAACCGGTAAAACTATATTTGTTTGTGATAAGCCGTCGAAATTGGGATGCGAGACACTTGCGTCTCTTAAGTCTACCAGCATTCTTTCTAATACTTTATCCAATTTGACAAAACTCAGCACAGATATTACTAGAAGGTGAGTAAAAGTCGAGTAATATTACACTCGAAATAAAATATGATACAAAAGACCTAAATAGAATATAAACTCATAATAAATCGCTTGTTTGGTATTAACTAATGAAAATCTCTAGTTTAGTGAAGTATTGAGACATTCCAGTCACAAAGTATTGTTAGTAGGACACTTTGAGGATAACAGTTAATATTTCTGATACATGTTCTAACAAAATTGAATCATATTTTCAAGAACTAAATAGCTTTAAATAGAGATTGTTTACGAATTTACCAAAATACCTAAAAAATTATTTTAGATTTATTGGTCCAGTGCGAAAACCCGGATAGATACAACCGCACATTCAAAATAACAAAACATAATATAAAGTATTAATACAAACGGAAAGTAGAGTTTCTAAAACAGTCGTTTATTAACTAGTCTAAGTATGATTGAATAATTATGGAATGAATGGTTGTGGACACCATCACAGGCCGTAAGTTGCGCACGTGCAACTATGTCACACTAAAGGTGAACTGTAATGATGAGGCATAATGGGGTAACAGACAAATAATAGTACACTGCAAAAACAAGTTAAATTATAAAAGTAAAGTCTTTAATAAATAAAATTCCGTATGCATCTTCTCTTCTCAATAACATAATAGTTCTTCTTGACGGTTTATCGTTGCACATACACGGTAACATAACTATTCAACTCTCATTGTATCGGTCAATAACAGGCACATGCACAGGTACAGACACAGGTGGCACTATAACAAATAAAATCAATTTTCTAATAACCACCATTCATTTCATTACAATTAATCATTAATCAAGCCTATGATAATTATAACAATTTACTAATTAGTAAAATAAAATATAATGTATTTGTACTCACAATGAACATCTAAACTGAGGGATGTCTTGACGACACCTCCCTTACGTGACCGTAAGTAGTTCGTATCGTTTGAGGTGTGTCGCATGATTTAGCATACTTTGTTTTTATACGGCGGTACACCTCACACGATGATTACGCTAATTAAAGTCATGCTTAATTGCTTCCATTATAAATACGCAAATTATAGCGCTTGATGATCGTTTTAACCGTGACAAACTACGAAATAACATTGCCTTTACACAAAGTAAGTGAACAAAAAATAAGAGGAGAAGAGCGTGTCGAAGAGGATGGTAAATAACTAATTTGCTACAGTAGAACAAGAAGTGTCCCCTTAGTGTTATCCCTTGAACAGAGGGTTTGGCTTGTTGTAAAAAAGCTTTTCCCTCGACTGGTAGCCGAAAAGTTTGCCTTAGGTCTCCTTAATAGGGGTGTTAAAGGGAATGGCCTACTGTAATACTACTAATTATGTCAAACAATAATTCTGATATCTTTGTTATCTTTTTTTTTCTCTATAATTCTGTCACTTAGGTCTTTGAATTATGCACGTTTGCTCAGTACGCCAGCCGTCAATATCACAGAAGCTGGTAAGAAACAACATGCCACTGGTGTGTATGGTGTATTTTACTCAGCCATACTGAATTAAATAATACCGTAATAAAGACATGTACATGAAATATTGGAAGATAATAATACCCCTGAACCTTTCTATGAGACAGCTGACCTAACGGCTATATAAGATGACGAGATGAGATGAACTATAAAGCGGGTCGGTTGTCCAAATATGTTCAGTAGTGGTGACGGATCTAAAATCAATGTTAATTTTTTTTTTTGCTCAGATCAAGAATCAACGTTATTGGACAGACTTTCTTTACCAGAATGCAAGGCGGATTTGCCAACACCTCTTAGTGACGGATTTTGGACAGGGAAGATATGGACTTCATTACAATGCAAAACCAGACAATGGACAGGACCTGAGATATCTCGGTGTATTAAGGGAAAAGAAATCATATTTATGGGAGACTCAACCACTGAGCAATGGTGTAAAGGAATGCTCAACCTCATGAAAGTTTCAAACAACAATTACACAAGAAAACTATCCACCAAACATATTACCCATCATAGTAATATTATGAACTTCGATTTTTATTTCCATCCGTACTCCTTCGGCTCAAGAACGCATCGTTACCGGGTCGGTAAATGGGAGTATGAAGTCCTGGATAATCTGAATTTCAGTGCGTGCAATTACGTCATAATGGTCAGTCCATGGGCTCACTATACACAATGGGTTAAGGAAAGTTTATTGGAAAGACTGCATCTATTGCGAGAAACACTAATAAGATTTAGAAAACGTTGCCCTAATGCACACGTTTTAATGAAATCGCCACACCCAAGGAATCATCAAAAGGGTGGAGAAAATGTGTATGTCAGTGAAAAAATGCTATTTGATATTTATGAACTTTACCATGAGATATTTTCAGGTTTAGGCATACATATTATTGACATATGGGATATGAACTTGGCCTACCCGCATGCAAATACCATACATATGCCAATGGCGGTAGTTTACCAAGAACTTTTTATGATGTTTTCCCATGTTTGTTCAAAGGGGCCCACCTGACATTTTGACATTATTGTTTAGAACGTTTTACGACAGTTAAAGACTTTTCAGAAATTGTGCTAAAAGTCTTTCTGTAGAAATAAAAGTTAATCCTATGTGTTCGCCGTAAATAAAAGTATATAACTACCACAGAAACTATTTTATTGAACGGCTTCTCTCATAAGAAAACTAACTTAATTTGTTAACATTTTAAATGAATGTTCAACTACATCCAGGAAGTTTATGATTTTAGTATTGAAACCAACTTTCCAAACATTTTTTTGAAGACTGCTCTTTGTTCTACACGTCGCTCATCATTTTTTTCTCTAATGGTGTATATTACAGAAGATTGTTTTATTTCAATCGCATTGTTTAATTTTGTTAACATTTCTAAAAATCTAAAGCTCATTTTCCTTATATGCTTTCAAGAAATCTTTTTTAAGTACTACTCTAAATTTTATACTTATATTATAATATAACATACACTTAACAATACTGCAGTGCAGTAAACATTTAAAAGAATAAAAGATCAATCGAATAATTTTTAACAGACTATATACGGTAAGGATAATATATAATAATGAAAATAACATGATAATATTATTATTTTTGATAATATAATATATAATAATGAAAAAAAACATAATAGCAAGTATAATAGTTAACATTATTATGCTTTAATTCAAACCTGGTAGACAATAGCCAGCCGCCCCATGGATCAAAGTAAGTTAAAAATATGAACATAAAAAAAATACAAAGAAATAATCAAATGGAAGAGTTCAGCTCAGTTTTCTTTATTCGCACGTTTAATAAAATCAATACAAAAGCACAAACACCTAAGCTAATTAAAAAATACACAAAACAAAAAATACAGACAATTAAATGCGAAGAATAAAAAAGTATTTCCATAATTTGGACAACTTTGAGAAAAATAAGTGTCGCCGATAAATGTAAGTTATACATATTTGTTCTATCAATGTTAATCTTCCAGCTTATTTTGTGGCAAAATACAATGTTTAGGTGAAGGGAAATATGTTTTTTCCCTCTTTCGTTCACAAAACATTACTCTTTCTTTTGAAAATAAATAAGTAAGGACAAGGGTTTTAAACAGTAATTAAAATTTTATTCAGTAAAGTTAAAATTATGATTGTTTAGGGTCATCAGTATAGCATGTCACTATTCAAGCAGAGTAACTATCGCGTGAAAATATGGAAATCCAGCATATGTTCCCCATTTGCCTGTAGAAAACTGCAATTTTGTTTCTTTCCTGTAGAGATCACTCACTTGTTCTTGCCAGTTTTTTTTTTCCTTCCTTTAGATTCTTAAGGATAAATCCATCAGTGATACAGTACGTTAAGTCATCTTTAAGAGCTTCGTAGTGTTGCTTCATAATTTCAACTTTTAAGATAATGAAAGAAAGTGATTTAAGTGATTCGTAGCGTTGCTTCATAATTTAAACTTAGGTGTATAAAAGAAATTACAAATTGGGGATGATTTACATTTCATTCCTCGTCCGGCCCCCACGTCTACCGTTACATGGCCCTTATGTCCACACCCTACTCCGGATCGTCCCCAAAATGTATTTAGTGTACCATGACAAACCATTCTGGTTTTTTTTTTTTTTTTTTATCCATTGTGTATGAGATATTTAGGTATGGGACATTAAAACTTAAAATGACCCCAAACTTCACACCTGAATAATGAATATGTATTGTCACCAAAGTTTAATAAATTCTTCCTTGTTACTTGCTTAAACTTTTCAAAAAGTTTCATTCATATCAATTGGTCAGTTTTTGGTATATCTAAGACGTTTTCCTTGGAATGGTCCTCATATCCACACCCAACTCCGGATCGTCAATACAATTTAATGGTGAGACCCCGGCCGGGGTCTCATGTCGTTGCTACGCCACTGAGTGCTCCAGTGGTGCCACAGTAGTGGGGGATATTATGGCATCCGGTGGGAATCATGTTGCACGGTCCGTGCCCCGTAGCACAAACAGATAGGGTAAAGGGCGAAATCTAGGGCTAATTAATTAGTATCAATCGTCACTGTATTCGATGTACTTTCTCGAAGCTCTCTAGACGTAACACCATCGGTGGTACCCGGAGAGAGCGCGTTGTATCTGCAGCCTCATGGCACCAAAGGTGGGTCTAATAACCTGATGCATTTTTTTCTGTGGATATCGCTGTAGGCCTACGGTAGCCTACTACAACATGGTAAGGTGCTACCATATTCAAAATTCAATGCTTTACCACTACTATTATTGCTCTATTGATTATATCTGGACGTAACATATCGACATCTAATTATCGGATTGTTAATGGCATGTCTGATTATGTATTTTACCCGATATATCAGAGAAGACGACTTGGTTGTCGCGCCACGAACGTTACATCACCATATCAGTGAATCATTTGTAGTGCAAAACTACACCGAACTTTCCTATATTATTTATTGCACAAGTAAACAATGTCCAAATTTCAACGGAAGTTTTCCCGAGCACCTACTCTGTACTATCAGGCTTCAAATGCCAGTTTTAAAATATCCAGCTGCTTATCAAATTAGTATCTCTACTGAGATCTAGCCATTGTTTCCCACAGCATTGTTGTTTTTCAGTACTTTGCCATTTATATATAAA